GCAAAGTCCATCGAACAGAAACTAACATTCATACACATTCGCATCGGGAGCAATTTGGGGTTCAGTATCTTGCTCAAGGATACTTCAACATGTGGCACCAGGAGCCAGGGATCGAACCAACAAGCTTCTGATTAGGGGACGACCCGCTCTGCCTCTGCGCCACACAAGTCCGTGCTTTGATTTGGATCTGTGATTCTTTTTTTTTGTAAGCAATGCCAGGGAAATAAAGATTGCTGCCATTTCACTACAACAATTGCCTCACTTTAGTGTAGCACATGGAGATACTTTGAAAGGTCACAGGAGGGGAGGAGCAGATAACATTGTGAGAGCAGAATAGCTGTCAATAGGATGATAGCCTGATAGATAAGTACAACCCTATATTCACAGCCAAACAACAATAGAAGGTGTGTGTGTGTGTGTGTGTGTGTGTGTTTGTGTTTGTTTGTGTGTGTGTGTGTCTGTGTGTGTGTGTGTGTATAGGTGTACGTGTAACAGAACATCCTCCCGCTCCATTCTCTTCTTCCCTTGTCCTTGCAAATTGGAAACCACTGCCCAGAATAGAAACTGAAACATGACAACAAGGCTATGATTACAGGAAAAAATCGCTTGTGTGGATTGGAGGATGGGAGTCTCCTCTGCGGTGAAGTTCAAACAGATGGAACAGCACTGGGCAGGAATTATGACAACATCCATGCTGACACAATTATCTGCATAATCATACTGATAAGGTAGCATCAGAGTTCTTTAAACATGAAGCTGCTGCTATAATTAGTGGAGTTTCCGGGTCTGTGAAGTGAAGCCAACGTGGAAGTGTCTTAAACATGCAGTCTTTAATGACCAGCAGGGGGCAGCTCCATTGGCTGCAGCAAAGAAGTCTGATAGTATGGAGGAATGAGCCTACTTCTTACTTGATTTAATAACTCACTAAACAGTTTATGGTCTTCCTCCATACAGCATGATGTTCATTTTGTAAATCACAGCTCCATTTAAAGTAAAATAAACATTAAAGCAGGGTATGCTTTAGGGCATGGCAACCATGTGATTGTCAAGTTATTCTTAGTGAGTCCATCCACTGTAACACACAAAACTGTCAAACTAGGCAGTGCTGATCAAATATGAATCAAGATTTCTCTCGTTAAATCTTTTGACAAATGAGCCACCATTGTTTCCTGCTGCAAACAAGTCAAAACAAAGTGCAGCCAGTGAAAGAAGGTCCACTTGCAGTATGTCATTGCTACTAGCAAATTCGAGGCTTCAAGAAAGTACTCCACAAACCAATGGGTGACATAACGATAGGTTCACACTTGGTTAAGGCTGAAGGTAACTTTGTGCCAAAGATGGTCTTTTTAA